TAATTAGAGATTTTTAGATGTTAAATAGTAAGTCAGAAAAAAAGTTAAAAGAGAGTTTCTACTGAGACGAGTATTGTCATTCGCGAATAGCCTCAGTTAACACGTGTTTAATTTCCTCGTTCGCACCTGTCCGCTAATAACCTCTGCGAAGCTGTCGTAAATTCTTCCCCGTTTCCCTTTTTATTTCCTAGGCCGGCTTCTCTGAAACGTAGGCGCCGATCGTCCACGTTCACCACATTAATTATGATACAAACCGCTCGATTGCGTAACTCTATGATAAACGGTCACTTAACCAGGTAAAAGTATTGTTCGTAGCCTGGTGATGGTTTCTCCAAGAAGAATTAGTGTGTCAGGGTGGGACGGTCGTGTAGGTCCGGCCCGAATGAGTTATTATCGGCCTCTTCGGCGTGATGTAAGGTGCACCGGCCGATTAGAATTTATAATATCGGTGCATCTCGCCGAGTTGTTTACCATGCCCATTAACATTCCCATTTTCCAATTGTCTGTCCGGATATAAACACACATTCACCGGTTTGTTTACATACACACGGAGACCTCGTGCGTTCAATAAACTCTCGTAAAGATGAAACGCGATTGTTTAACCGTCGTTGTTTTAACATTACCTCGTTGAAGTTTACGATGAAAGTGGATACATTGTTATTCGATGTGCGCATCAATAATTTTTGGGTAATTGATTGAAAGATTTTAGAAAGTTTAAGACGAAATTCAGTTGTACCGAAAAGGCGAAAGCACGAGTATTACGTTATGTTACATTACCTGTTACGCCACGAACCCCATTATCTTAATCACATGTTACATCTCAAGCAAAAGTAATCACACCAACTCGTGTATTCTTCCCTTTTTATCCAATTGACTTAATTTTTTCTGTGACTATCTAAATAATGTTGCTAGATGTTAGTAGTGGCGATAAGATCTAATAAATATGTTAGATGTACCACACATACTGCTAGATCTAGGTCAGTACTAAAATCTTAGTGCCGTTATACCATGTTAAACACTTGGCGTTTCTTTATTAGGTAAAAAATTCCTTTTCGCGTTATAATATCCTATTACTACAAACACCTTAATTGTCCATGAAATTGAACTGGAGCTAGAAGTAGAATAACCAGGAAGTTGTACAACGGTCAATTCGCGTGTGGTCTGAAGAGAACAAGATAAGCAATATAATTTTACGACTTCTAAATAACATTTCTTTCAACAAATCGTTGTTTTACATTTTGTTGTTGAGAAAGCAAACTTTATTGTTAATAATATTGCTTTCTTGTACTTTTACCATTAGATTTATGCATCAGATGCATAAATATCAATAAAAATTGCAGACGAGACAGAGTTAGAAATCAAGAGGTCAGAGAGGAACTTGCTGTGGAGAACACTTTGAACACCAAGTAAAACAAGCTTGAGAGGCACAGATACCGATGAGGAGAGGAAGAGAAGGATATATATATAATTACCACTTAAAAAATTTGTAGTTGTACTTTAAAGAGAATTGTTAGTTTTAATTATTACTCTGAACACACAAGTTACCTTTTGGCCTATATAGTTTATTACCGTTAATATCCATATAAGGAAAAGTGAAGAATCTTTGTTCCACCTTCATATCATTAGTAAATATTTATGGTCATAATTTTCAACGACAAAACAGCTATTTTGCAATCGCAGCAACAAGCATTGAACAATTATTGTTATGGTCCGTGGGCTTAATTAGCGTTTCATCCGCGCACGGTAATATAAATTAGCGAGATATGCTGAGCTATTTTAATTAAACATTCTCCGAACGCTTTGGTGTGGTAAACTCTAGTTTTACAGAATTGGTGTTATGAAATAGTGTTTACCGTAAAACCAAGATGCTTCTACCAAAAGTGGATTGGTGATGAAGTGGTTAAAAAAAAAGAAATACAATCTATAAGATCTAAGTAGATATAGAAAATATGTTTCGCAATTTCCAACCTTATCTACATACGCATGTTAAAATATAGATTTATGTAAAGTAGAGTATCGCGAGGTCACCCATTACATGGGCGGTCCAATTTGATTTAATTCGTTCTTCGACTTCCGTACAAGTCACAAAATTATAATCTACCTTTAAGACTGACTCACCTATTGAGATAATCATTGGCGAAAATCGGATGTCAGAAAACCTTGGGAGCATTTTATGTTGCGTATTATGGTTACGTAATATTATAAGATAGGTAACTGTACGGCGTGAAATATGTGGCTATTTGAGAGAACCTGCAGCAAACAGTCATCATCGTCCGGGCGAGAGAGCAAAACAGCAATTATAAGAAAAAATACAGCTAACCCTAATAAACGAAACAAATTACACGTTTGATAAATATTCAGCATTCAATACATGACCTTCGCGCATTTTTTTCTTTCGCACAGACGAATAGGTATGGTAATTCATTTTTCTTTTTATAATTGAGCTAGGTTTCAGACGCGATTGATTGGTTATCCTTGAAGATGCACACGGATCCATTTCTACATAAAAAAGTCGTTTAAATTTATATAATTATCTGTATGTCGATCGTTTTCTTTCCCACGTTTTAAAATAATTCCATTTTATATCATCTTTTTTTTTAATATTATGTAATCCTAATTTACAGTTTCGAATAACGACCAGTTTCTTGGTTGTTTCGTTACTTCTTCGGTTTTGTAGTGTGCGAAGTACACCTCTTCGGTTATATAACCAAGAAATCTTTTCGCCAGGGCATTAGAATACAATTGCAACACGTTTCTAGTATTCGCGCCGCTCTACAATTTAACAACGCCCACCATCTTTGGGTATACCATGAAGTCTTAAGACCGCCATCAGCTCGGGGGCAAATCTGCACTTCCCCGTCGACGTTGGGCGGTGTTCATTGTTGACAAATTAAAAATAAATCGATGGCTGGCCTTAGGGAAACCTTATTGTTTCGATTTGATAAATGGGAAAAACTTTCTGACAGCCATCAAAGTTCAATTCATCTAATAATTTTTGCAAGATTTTTATCTTGAAAATGTATAAATATTTAAAAAACAAAATAGTTTCCAACAACCTTGGTCATTAATCGCGTCACCAATAGAATTATGTATATCCGTATTTGATTTCTCGTTAAACTATTCCATTAGAATTTAGAATCCAAATTTCATCATTCCACCCACTCAATAATAATCGATTAGGCCACTATGCTTATGTACATCGGAAAATCCAAAGCCTCAATAGTTCATTAACGATTCAATGGCTAGTTGAGACGTTTGTAAGATAACTTGCGGGACGAGTCATCGGACTATAGCTTTCTTCCGCCAGATCAACCATTGTATCGAGTATTTTACGCGTAAAGGAAGGCGAAAGACGTTTAGATTATGCATTCACGGTATAATTTCGTATTATGCACGGTATGCATTGCAGGATTGCGGGCGTGAGTTGCATTTACATACGGAATATGTACGTAGTGCAAAGTTAACACCTTCTCGACCGATGATATAGTAAGTAACTCGCCGATGGGGCAAGTGGTATTTTTAACGGGGCGCTAAGTAGTAACTATAGAATTTCAAATTTACCGAGTTATGGCACCTCGAAAAGACCAGATTACCGGCTATTACGATCGACATTATCCTTTGATCGTGTCTCAACAGGTGTAATGTACAATTACAGATAAACGTAAGTATAGATTGTTAAGTAATAGTGACGGTAACTCTGTAATCATGACTTCCGATGAAATTAAAAAGATTAAAGTTCGTCCACTTAGAAGATCAAAACGAGGCAAATAATTAATTCGAGTAAACAATAATTTTTATTAATTTATTAAGATCTATGAATCATGCTGAATTAGAAATTTCAAAAACCTGATTTGATACAATTGTTATAAAAATGTAAAAAACGCAGGGGTAAACCTGAAACGTTCAGGTAATATTTTCGGACAACGTTTTTAAGCGAAATCATACATCTCCATCATAATCTGGCGAAGTCTTAGATGCTTTGCCATAAGTTAAGCCGAGATCATTCTGGCGAAATCATAGATTCTTCGTCGCAAGTTTTGCCGAGGTCGCTTGCGGCCGAGGTGGTACAATGTGTTAATGTTTCTGAATGTTTCTAGTTCTAGGTTTAATGTTGGTTCTAGTGACAGTGGTAGGTACCGCTAGTTAGCATAAGATATCACTATGTTGCATATTTTTATTGCACTAAAACTAGAACTAACACTAGACCTAGAACTAAAATCATTCGGGTTTTGCCGTCTTGAGAAACATGCAGCTAAACCCGAATGTTCCTAGTAATAATAATAGCCTTAATAGCCTGTACTATTAAGCTATGTTGCATTTTATGAGAGACAGTGCATAGTAGTTTCGTACCTATGGTTACTGCATTCATATTTTGCGAGTATTTCGCGAGAGAAAAATATATAAAAATTGGATTAGAACAAATAAAATTAATATGTTATATAAGCTAAGTCTCCAAGGAAACTTTTAATTTAAAATTATAGTGTATATTGAAATAAAAACACTAATGGTAAATGGCTAACAATAAATGGTAATAAAATTTCATAACTGATTAATTTTTTTTTTATGTAATTTCATCACAAATTTCCCGAGTGCATAAATTTGCACCGTAAAGCCCCACATAATCAAGTTGTAGGTGTGGGGCTATAGAAAGCGCTCGTCACGGGCCATAAGCCTGTGTTCATATCGTCCTGATTATTATAGGGGCTTCAAATATCAGCGACTTCGAGTCCCTAGAGGACGACTATATCACAGCTAATACACCCCGTTGGTTTATTATGGCAACTCGAACCAACCCTATATAAAACGAAGGCGCCGTAAAACCGGCTTATTGAATTTACAGTCGCCCTCGTGTTCGTACCTTGAATTCCCATGTTTGAAACATTAAGCGTTAACAGTTAAGTGCATGTCAGAATGTAGAGGATAATGCTAACATCTAACATTAGTGGTTGGTATAAATCGAGATGTATAGATTAAGTTTTCAATGTCTTGTTTCGTTGCAGGTACTGTGCTTGTACAAGGCGAAGTATCCAGTGCCCCTTTGGTGGCGGCAAGTACGCAGCCATCAGCGCCAAACAGCCCCCAGTCAAGTATGCTTCTGCTTCAGACCCAAGTAAGTTTTTAATGATTTAATAATAATTATTTGAAATAAATTATTACCGCATTACACATTTCCATCAATCACGCGTTGAAGTACGATTTGATGCTTTCAGTTTAAAATAATTATACTTACTATGGTCGGTTAAATCTCGATACTCGAATCCATTATGATTTCTTGAGTTTCAATTAACCGAAGCCGGCATCTGGTATTGTACACGTCCTCTCATAATCATTTCCCGCAATAATAAGTATGATTCAACAACTTACACATCAAGACGACGATGGTCTCTTGAATTTAATTATCAATCTCTTCGGAGTGAACATTAATTTTTCGCTCGTATATTAATCGCCTTTCTGCAAACAAATTATGTGAAACCATTACGGAAGCAACATTGATGCCATAAACAACCTTGGCTTTTCGTGTCGTGCATTTTTATTGTTGTAATCATTCAGAAACTTACGGGTCAGATGCTATAATAAAAGAGTGTTTATATGTAATGAGTAAAATTTATTAAAATCGTTTAAGGACGCCGCATTCCTCGCAACCAGAAAGATAGAAAAGCTTTAATGTGAAACGTAAATTAAAACAAACCGGGCGTCATCGCGTAATTGCAAGGACGATATAAAAAGGCGTGAATTTTATTATCCTTCCGTTTTATTCTCGAAGAAACCGTTATGTGTCAAAAGCCGCTCGTAAATCATAAGTCGGTGTTAATGTCTATGCGGCGAATAGCAAAACGATGAGTGGTTTCCATTTCAAATTATGTTGGTTTTAACGTATAAGGTTTAAATTGACTCAACTCCACCTCATATATCCTTTTTCTACGTGAATTTTAAATTAGACATATAACATGCCAATTTTCCATCAACTGTTCCTATTAAGACTGGAAGATTGATCTCGATGTATTTATTAACATTCTAGATGATGTTCGAGAAAATTAGAAACATCTTTAAATATCGAAAAATGACAAAATGTAACACGAACATTTTTTTTTTAATTTTGTGCTAAAATTCTCAAAAACTAATAGATATTTTGAAAATCCGTTCCTTTTATTGGAAAATTAGGTATACCCCGTTCGTCGAACAGATGCAGTAATTTGAAATTAGATTATTATTAGAAAAATTCTTATTAGATAATTTCAAATTACTGCATCCCAAAAGGTTTTAAATCACGTTACCTTTTATCGAAACTTTGTTTTACATGCGCATTGATGTTGTCGTCCATACAAGAACCAGTTCTACATCTAAACGTGTTTTTCGTCTCATTTAACGTTATAACGCAGTTATTTTAATATGGTTTGAGTGGTGTTTTATATAATTTTGATATATTATAACTAAATATTAAGTTTTGAAATTGGATTTGTTATGATATTTTAATTTCCAAGCAAAATATGAGTTGTAATAAAAAAGTTAATAGTCTATTTTAATAATAGGTTGATTAAGATTATAGTCCGCACATTTGCATAACAATAGGATGTACGTTAAAAAGTTCAATGTTTCATTAATAGTCAGATCATTCCTACAATTTTCACACGTTCAACGTTACAAAAAAGTATTAATTATGCACTGAGTACTTACACGGGGAACATTAATAAATCAGATCGCCGCCTATCGTACTTGTAAATTAGCAAACAATCAGTTCTCACGGTTCTTGGAGCCTTTTAGTCTAAGCGTTTGAACATGCTTGTCTGGGTTCTTGTTTTCTTCGCAACCGCGTGTAGTATGTTTCGTTCTGGTCGCGTTCATTGTGTAATTACCCGGCTGTACACACGATTTTATGGTCATAATTTTCCACGTATGCGAAAAAGTCATAATAGATATCGCGCAAAAAATATTCTATTAGCCGATGTATATCTATTCTCGCAGAAAAAGATATAAAATTTTTCTTTTAATTATGGTCACTGCCCAGGTCGGCAAAAAAATAAACGTTGAAACTAATTATGTGTATCATTTATAAATCGCTAGAAGGACTTGGCTGAAGTATTTATTGCCTCTTATGATTTTAATATCGGTTCATTCATGTAATATTATAGAGATAAATTAACTTTTTTTTAATCGTTGTTCACAATTAATATTGTGTCACAGTAACCTTACTAGAAGAATGTATTATTATTAAGTACCTAGGATAATTATAGTTTAAAAAATAGTATTTAAAACATCTTGAAATAAACCAGAACTAACGCTTATACTCTCACTAGAATTAACACTAGTTCTAGAACTAGAAACATTCGGGTTTAGCTGTACGTCTCTCAAGAGGGCTAAACCCGAATGATTCTAGTTCTATGTCTTGTGTTAGTTCTAGTGATACTGCTAGTGCAATACTAGAACTAACACTAGACCGAGAACTAGAACATTCGGATTTAGCCGCACGACTTTCAAGACGGCTAAACCCGAATGATTCTAGTTCTAGGTCTAGTGTTAGTTCTAGTTTTAGTTCAATTAAAAATGTACAACAATCTAAACGTTCAGGTTTAGCTGTCTTTGGAGACGAACGGCTAAATCCGAATGTTTCTAGTTCTAGGTCTAGTGTTAGTTCTAATGGTAGTGCAAGTAATTCAATTAACACCGGCCGTGAAATCCTTCAAACTTACAATTAGAACATCTTGTTACTAACTGATACTTAACGATGGTAAAATATTATTTAGGTTAAATAAACATAATCCTATGTAAAAAGAAAATTGCGCGGCATTTCACAATAGTCATGATCAATTCTTTAGAAGAATAACAAAGGATGTAGAACGCCGCATTGCAAACTGTGTAACCATATTTTATGTGGCCCGAAGCGGACTCAAACTGATTACGTTTAATTGAATATACTGTGTCACGGATGTTATGAACCATAATATATTAATAGGCGAGTCAATGATAATTTATAAAGAGCCCCGCAACAATACCCGGCTTGAAAAACCGTTCGCCATAAGTCACGACGATTGTCACGCAGACAATATCTGCGAGATCTCGCAGTCAGATAGCGAACGGTAACTTGATATCTAAACACACGGAGTTTATTCTCCCGTCGGCTCGTTTATGTATGTAAACACCACAGATGTTCTTATTTAGGACTTGGTGTTAAAAACTTCGCAAGCTTCGAGAGCCCTCGAAAGCTGCAGCTTTATTTACTTTTTTAATCGATTCAATAGGAAATTTTTTAATGCGATCCGGAACAATGATGAATTAATTAGTTGTAAATGGTATTATAAGAGATGTATAGCGCTTTGAATAACAATGGAGAGCGTTAAGAGCTTCGGTTTGTATCGGAATATTCGCCGACAATAACCCAACAATTTTAAAAGATTAGATTGTATATTGTGTTATATCGAATTTCTAACGGATCTTTAACTAAAGCTTACTTTCTAATGATATAGATAGTTTATTTTTTTATATTTATTTCATCTCAACATATTCCGTTATTTATACAATCCAGATGTGTGTAAAAATATATATTGACAAATTATGACGATCTAACCGAAGACAACTACATAATCAGATTTTGTAGATCAAAAAATTGACGAACATCGAATTAATATGCAGAACTGACACAATGAGTTCTGTCCAGAAAAGCTTGGAAAGCACGGAAAGAATTTTTTCATGAAACTTTTTTGATTATTTACATTAAGCTTACATTGAGAGTCACAATTTCGAAGCTAAAATCGAAGCTATTACGATTCCACGGAATATCATATTGATTATTATTAAAAATATCAAATAAAATTGTTTTAATTCTCTTTATATTAGTAGTTCTTCTTTACTGTCAATAAGAAAATGAAAATGCATAAAAATCTTGAAAGTTGCTTAACCGTCGACTTTTGAAAAAGATCTAGAAGCGCCAGAAGACATAAACATAATAACGCAACGGTGAAGCGTTGAATGGCTTCAAAGGCTCAATTGAAATAAGTCAGGCGATTGCACGTCCACGCAATACCAATACAATGCCGATAGCCGATTAACATTGCCGCCGGATTACACACTCGCCTGTAATGCCTAATCGGTAAAGTAAATCATCACTTAACTCATTGTGTCTTATTCTTATAGCGCGCGATGCGTCTTGCTTCACATCGTAGCGGGCGAATAGCTCAAGAGGAAGAGTCTATCTTGAGATCTGAGACACGCATTAAACATCCGAAGGTTCTACAACAGATTTACACATTCGCTCCACATATTCCGGTTTACTAACTCGTTTCTCTCTAAAGTAATTATGATGTATTGGACAAGCGATTAATTTAAGCGTCCTTTCTTACTATACCAAGTCGGTGGTAGTTCAAGTCATGTAGTGGTTTTTCCGCTGCCGTTGCTGTTCCAACAATTAAATATCCGGCCTGTTATTACAAGTAGTTTTATAGGCGGCCAGCTTGATATCTAAATTAGTACCTTTAGATCGCGGAAAAGTTTATGTTCAGAGATAAGCTTAATTAAACGGTTGCTGTGAAACAAGGTTGCCGTCACCGGAAAGATTTTTGGTAATTGAGTTTCTCCATTTACAAATAAGAAAAATGATATAGACTTTAAATCCATTTACTTTAAAGAGATATTGAAGATACATTTCACCGTGTGCAACTGTCGTAAAATTGGCCGAAATTGAGCTTTACGTAACGCTAAAAGAAAGTGATTATGTAAAGGAAATATAATGTTTACTTGGTACGTTATCGTTAAAAATAATACGTGTCGTATTTACTTCTTAAAAATTAATTAATCAAAAATATGTAATAATAAAATATCATAAAATCATATTATATGCACGATTAATCTGCAATTCTTATTACCGTAACTTTTTTAATATTTGTTGACCTTTTCGTTAATCGACGCATTAATAGTTCTAAACGAGATAATAGACTACCTCGTTAAATATACTCAATTAAGTACAAACGTATTAGTATAGGAGGAAAGTGACGCGATTTAAATTTTCAATTCCAACTTCTACGTCTATTCTGACTTTATTAGGCTATCGTTGGCCGTGCAACGCGTAGGCACAATTAGTGCACAACTAATAGTACGAGAATAAATCTTTGTAATTACCTCCAGGTACAGAGTGGGTGGTTTTCCCAGCGTCGCTAAACTTTTTAACTAATATCTCATTTCGAACGATCAGTTCCTCTATCTAACTTGCACACGGCGTATTAATGCATAAGCAAAGTTTAATTTAATGAAGAGAATTTAATTGATAATCTGTATATTTTGTCGTGATCAACTCGACAATAATCGCGTAAGATTTCGTGCGGCTAATGGAGGCTATTTGCTCGATTTAGGTGAGTTACTAAATTGAATTTCAATTATTTCAATCAATAGCACGTTTGCGCGCTGAATGGATACCCAACGGCGAAAAACTTTCGGTTCATTTACCACCTATGGTAACCGCATAAAGGAAAGATCGAGCTTTGGACATTTCAGTGTGGTAATGTTATCCGTATTTCTTCACTAACAGCACTTTATCCATTTCATCGTTTTATATTGTCCTCGTTTATAGGGAAATGTAACGTTATTTTCTTTGAATTTATCAATTGTTATATTTTTGAATTAAAATTTTCAAACAATAAGAAATTTTTATAAAGTCAGGCAACACGCATTGCAGCGCCTCAGCTAACTTAATGACAAAGAATAAATTATATAATTTTATTAAGCCAAGACTGCATGTGGCCGATGCGCTACAATACACCAATACAAAGTGAAGCAACCCGTACTGCAGTGCCTCGGCTAAGCTAATCAAAAAAAGTAAATCATGTAATTGTATAAAGCCGAGCCGCCACAACACATCTCACACAATTAATGATAACAAATAAATAATTCAATTAACAATACACCCTACACCAATACCAAGTGAAGCTACACAGATTGTTTAGATTATTTTAGCCGTCTCTTAAGACGGCTAAACCCGAATGATTCTAGTTCTAGGTCTACCACTGCATAACAATTAAAACTAGAACTAAACCTACAACTAGAAACATTCGGGTTTAGCCGTCTTTAGAGACGTGCGTTTCTAGTTCTAGATTTAGTGTTAGTTCTACTTTTACACTAGCACTGTTACTATGTAGAATTAACACTATACCTAGAACTAGAATCATTTGGGTTTAGCCGCACGTCTCTAAAGACGGCTAAACCCAAAGTAACAGTGCTAGTGTAAAACTAGAACTAACACTATACCTAGAACTAGAATCATTTGGGTTTAGCCGCACGTCTCTAAAGACGGCTAAACCCGAATGATTCTAGTTCTAAGTATAGTATTAGTTCTAGTTTTACACTAGTACTATCACTAAAAGCAACACCATACCTAGAACTAGAATCGCACGTCTCTAAAGACAGATACGTTCATAACAACAGCGTTCATAGGGAGTTGGATAACCTAATACAGTATGTTTACTCAACGGACCTTGATTCTGTGTTTTTGGTAACTCTTGCTAAGATGGCGGATTTTTAAATCGAGGTCACAAAACGAGGTGCCGCCAACATTAAACGAATCGACGTCAGTGTCATTTCTGGTTATTCTGTGGCTACACGTTCTGCAGTGCCTCGGTCGCAAGCGACCTCGACCACAGGATAACCAGAAGTGACGCTGGCGGTATCCCTCCAAATCTAATGCCATATAGTTGCGAGGAAACAAGGTATTGTTGCTTTTGGTGGTAAATTAAGTTGTCTCTGTTTAATTTATCTCTATTACTCATTGTGCCACAGAATAACCAGTAATGACACTGGCGGCAGTACCTATTGGTGACAATCTTTACTACCAATAGCAGCATACCTCGCTATAATATGGCGTCAGATTTAGCGGGATACTGCCAGTGTCACTTCTGGTTATTCTGTGAATAATCTGCGATAAGATGGTAGATTTTAACTCGAGGTCATAAAACGATGTCCGCCAACATTCGTTTGATGTTGTCATTTCTGGTTATTAGTGCCTCGGCTAGTAAGATAGGCAACCCATATTACACTGCCACAGTTGGAAACTCTTTCATTGACATTCCATAGGTAGTTTGCAAGATAAAATTTTGTACTATTGGACACGTCGCAAAGATTCTCAAATACGTTTCTAATATGGTTGTGTTGAAGGCAATCGCTCGAGAATGAATTCATTCCTTGGGATACTTCTTGTTATATTTAATTGGAAATGATAAGCTCCAAAATAGTGCAGCCATATATTTCTCTTTTCTTCCTATGATATTCTATATATATATATATATATATAGAATATATATATATATATCAAATTATTTTCTTCTAACAGTAATAAAAAGAAATTATAACAGCGAGTTATTTCTGAGGGTCACCCAGTATTAATAGACAGGTATAATACTTTTCATAAAATTTTTTAATTGTTCAGCTCCAGTGATATTATATGCAACAGTCGAGTAGTTCTAGAATTCTATATTATTGGTTGAGATTATATCAAGTTAAAGTAAAACAAGTAGCCGTAATTATAACGGAGTAAAATTTATGTAAATTGCCGTGTAAATTATAAATAGTAAATGACCGTGCGGTTAATGGCATTGGTGGATAACAAATTTTTGTTGAAAAAAGTGAAACCTGGTAGCCATATTAGGCGTCGGGACGTTACCTAAGCAACGACGCATGGTAACTTTCTAACCAATGAATGAATGTAGAGTGGAGGCCACGCCTCTCATATTAAAACCCCCTCTCGCGGCGACGCAAAACTGGGTGAAACAGATCAAGGCAATAAATCACTAACCAAGTACTTGAACGCAATTGCAGCGCGCGGTTGTTGTTTGCTGAAGTGCAATGGTGATTTGATCGCGGAGACTTTTAAATTAGAGAAGTGTTAATTATAGTTGCGATTCGCGTTGTAGTAGTACTATTCTAATTATAATGATCCCTGAAAAGTCGTATTAATAGATACTGTCGACACCAAGCAGTAGATTACAAAGCTACTGAACTGGTGCCGTTTAGTTAAAAAGATATGTGACATGACGACGTTTGTTTTCAGGCTCCCTTCGGTTCGAGCACTTTCGCAGACCTGCTAAGTGCCCCATTTCCTGACGATCCAAGCACCGTACTTCCTCCAGAAGATCTTGACCCATTTCCGGACGTAGCATTGCAATCGCAACCATCATCGCCGGCTCCGCTTCCAAGCTTCCAAGAAACTTATTCCGTAAGATACGCAACTCCTTTTAAAATGGACGAAGAATGTTTCAACGTTTCTTATCAACATCCAACTCACGTTGCTACTCCGCCGTCACACCATTACGAGTATCAACAACATCATTATACAACTAGTCCTTATTATCCTCCCCCCCAGTGCAGTCCAAGCTTTGAGACTTTAATGCAAGATACTTACTCACTGCCTTCGTTCCAATCTTCCCCGACTACAGAGCTTCATATAAGCACTTCGGTTACTCCGAGACAACGCCGAGCATCTTTACCACTTCAACGATCCGAATCAACCAGCAGCAGTGAAAGTCCTAAGATGAGAATGACCGGTCCAACTCCTCCGGTTTGTTCCTCGGCGGCATCTTCACCGGGTGCTTCTTCGGAACAACCGACACAACCGAAAGGACCAACACCTCCAAGTCCGTCCCAGCTTTGTGCCGTTTGCGGTGATACTGCAGCTTGTCAACATTACGGGGTACGCACGTGTGAAGGATGTAAAGGTTTCTTTAAAAGAACAGTTCAAAAGGGATCGAAATACGTTTGCTTAGCTGATAAAGCGTGCCCCGTCGATAAACGGCGGCGAAATCGATGCCAGTTCTGTAGGTTTCAAAAGTGTTTAGCCGTCGGAATGGTAAAAGAAGTCGTCCGAACGGATTCGTTAAAGGGAAGGCGGGGACGACTACCGTCCAAACCAAAGTCTCCCCAAGAATCTCCTCCGAGCCCGCCGGTTTCTCTAATAACCGCTTTAGTTCGAGCCCACGTTGATACTACGCCAGATTTAGCTAATTTAGATTATTCTCAATACTGCGAGCCCAGTCCTATAGAACCTATGATATCCGAGGCTGAGAAAATTCAACAGTTTTACACCTTATTGACAACATCAGTAGATGTTATTAGAAATTTTGCCGAGAAGATTCCCGGATTTCAAGATCTCTGTCCCGAGGATAAAGAGCTTCTATTTCAATCTGCTTCCTTAGAACTATTTGTGCTTCGATTAGCTTATCGCACCCATCCCAATGATACTAAATTAACTTTTTGCAATGGGGTCGTGCTGGATAAGCAGCAGTGTCAACGATCCTTCGGCGATTGGCTACACACCATCATGGAGTTTTGTAACAGCCTTCACTCCATGGAGATCGATATATCAGCATTTGCGTGTTTGTGCGCTCTGGATCTTGTTACCGGTGAGTAATTTTAAATTTTCATTTCACTTATATGTATAAATAACATTTTTATGAGAATGTCTTTTTTTACGACACGAAATACTTTAATAGCGAAGAGTGTCATAAAAGATCTCTTGAACCAGGTGTCACAACAAAAAAGGCTAAGACGTGCAAACATTGCAGAAAAACCAATTATAGTAGGGTTCGTCTAGTGTGACTAACTCACACTGAGTTTATAACTAGGAACCATTATTGAAAAAATTTATTGATAGTAAGAAAAAATTTATTAATACTAACAACAAATTTATTAATACTACGAACAAATTTATTAATACCACGAACAAATTTATTAACACTAAGAAAGAACTCTTTCAACAGTTTTCAATTTATTTTGATTAAAGTGTTATACAACAACGTTTAGGTGTTTCACAAAAAAGCCGCGTTAACGTTGGGACCATAAAGATATGATATAACAAGTACCATCCACTAAATTTTTATTGTATTGGAATTAACCTTAATAACAAATACAACAGATTATGTACGTTACGTAAAATAAATGCAAAAAAGCCCACACAAGTTGCAACTCAGTTGCATAACCTTATTTATTGCAAGTCCTCCGTGTTACTTGTGTAGTCAAGCAGTGATATTAATTTATTATTAAATATTATACGTGGTAGTTAGTGTCATTAGTGTCAGCGGTATATAAATGGTACATAAGTAGAAAGTTTTTGACAAAGAAAAAAATAATATATTTTATGTTTTGTAAAAGATTTTTTTTAAATAGACTCTGTAATCACCCTGTATACAAAGTTATTTCAATTCAACAAATGAATTATTTATGTAATTAAGTGAATCTATTGTTCCACCCACATCATGAGGATAAAACGTGTAGGTATTGATTTTATACCATCCAAGAATACACATACAATCAATATAGCTAGATATTTATATACACAGTATTTCAGGATTTTGTGTTAAGGATGAAATAGTCATAACTTTTTTTTTGTAATGTTTCTCATTTCTTATTAGGATACTGGCCTCTATTATCTTTATATCTTAGTACAATCGTTCACTCTCCTTATCTTGGTATAGACATTACCAAGTCTGCAAAGTAGAACTGGGTAGTATGAAATTCTTTATTTTGATTCTTGATGCCAGAAGACTTGAAATCCCCAAATTGAATTCCAAATCGTTCAAGTCATGTTGATCAAATCCATTTTCGTATTTTTAAACAGTAAAATTATTTGAAAATGTTTCGATGCAACGATACCTGGAAGTACCTAACAACTTTATCTTGATCATACATTAAAATATCCAAAATACGGTTGTTTGAAAAATGGGCCGAGGCATTTCAGTATCTGTTAGCTACTTTTGGGAGAATATGGTATTAATTGCACTGCCTCAGCAAGCGAAATAACACACTGTTTGTCCTTAACTTAGCCGAGGGAGCTAGAGGCCGAACCTCGGTTTAATCTGGTAAAATTCACCATATTCTCCTGCAAGTGTAGCCGTATTCTAAATCTTTCATTCTACGTTTTGCGTTTAGCAGAGGTCGCTTGCTGCCCAGGCATTGCAATACATATTACATGGTTTAGGATAAATGTAGTGTTAGTTTACAGCAAGTCTTTTTTATAGAACCTTAGAGTTCTACCTTCTTTGTGTTCTGACTTACATCTATTTTTGTTAATTAATTCCTCCATTTCTAAAGTTAATAAGAAATGTTATTACATTATTATGTCCAAATAAAAGTTTGGACTTTAATTGATATTGAATATGTCACTTAATTTTATCCATAAAAATAAAGATATTTGTTTAAAAGACAGTTAGTTATTCGTAAATATTTCCTTATTCATCAAGTTTGCAAAATTTTATAGTCCCGGGCGAAATTCTTCACGTAATTAACAGTAATAGACGAAGAGGCCGTGATTGCGCAATCGACATGTGCAGTTAAGAAGATGATTATGTAACGTAACGTTTGTTTCGATGCTGCCGATGTTCTTGCTGCCTTTGGTTTAACGTTGTGTGTCCACATATTCCAGTCAGTAAATTGGCTTTCTATATTTAGAGGTGGCAAAAACCGCGTCTGATCCCGCTGCCGACGCCTTTGGAACGGATATTCCTCAAGTTCTTTTACGTCGATGCGAACAAAGAAAACGTTCAAGTTAAAATTATAGCTTTTATAATAAATGAGTTGAGTTTAAGAATTATTAATTTCTTTTTTGTGTTTTTAGATCGTCACGGTTTGAAAGAACCATCAAGGGTGGAACAACTTCAAATGAAAATAATTTCGTCGCTGAAAGATCACGTTACGTATAACGCAGAGGCGCAAAGAAAGCAGCACTACTTCAGTCGTCTTTTGGGAAAACTGCCAGAACTACGCTCGTTGAGTATTCAGGGACTTCAGCGAATATTTTATTTGAAATTAGAAGATCTCGTCCCGGCGCCGCCGCTTATTGAGCGAATGTTTGCGGCTACTTTGCCTTTTTAATTTTTATTATTATTATTTTCTAATCTACTAAAGTACGTTTAGGCCCTTTTCTCGAAAACCGTGATAAATACTAAATAAAAAAAGTTCTACGTACGTATTGTGATTTGTTACTATTTAGATTCGATCTTAGGCGTTTCTCTTTACTTCTTATTTATGATAAAATTTTGTAATAATTGCAATATTTCTAGTAAAATTAAAATTATTTTCACTTAATTGTCACTTAATTACGACGCACAGATCTTTTAAATATATCCTTTTGAATTGTGCTTGAAAGCGCAGTTAATAAGATAAGTTTTAGGATTTATTTAGGGTTTAAAATGTGAGATTTCAAGAATTACTGCTAAAACGTTAGATGAACTATTTTTAATTCGTAGGTTTTTAGCGCACTCTTTTTAAAGTGGGCATTACAAATCACTATTTATTAAAGTTACCGAAACAAGCTATATATACTTAAAAAGGCCCTTTTTGCGAGGCTACTCCCGTTAAAATGTTACCAAGAAACTAAATAACACCCCTCAGATATGCGATAATTAATGTTATATTCATATCTGCACAGAGATTGTTTAATTGAAAGGACTTGCTGGATGTAAGGATGATTTAAACATTTTTTACTAAACTCTAAAGTTACCACGTTTAAAGACCAACAAATTTATTTGTTTATTATCTACTATGTAAATATTACTATTATTTTCTTTTTGTACTTGTAAGGTTTACTAATTCGATTAAATCTAAATAAAAATTAATAAAATTAAAAACAAAATTCGATGTAGAGTAAAAAGAAAACGTTAATGTTACCACTACACCTTAAACGGTGCAGATAATGAGAATCTTATGCGATAAATACTAGTCACGGAAATTTGTATAAAAGATGAAAAATAAACTATACATTTATTTACAAACTTAAAAGAGATGTCTATATATACATATATACATATATTTTTAATACATTTTTTATTGTAAATTCATTAAGTTACCTTAAAATTTAATTAATTTGTAATTATAAGCACGAAGGCTTTCACGGCCGGTGTTAATTGAACTAAATCTATAACTAATAATAACACTATCACTACAATTAATAGAAGACGTAGAATTAGAAACATTCGGAATGTTTTAGTTAAAAAAAATGCAGCAATCTGGCGCTGAATAATAATTAAAATTGGAACTAACACTATCACTAGAAGTAACATTAGACCAAGAACCAGAAACATTCGGGTTTAGCCGCACGTCTTTCAAGACAGCTAAACCCGAATGATTCTAGTTCTAGATCTTGTGTTAGTTCTAATAATAGTACTAGTGTAAAACTAGAACTAACACTAGACCTAGAAACTTTCTTGGTCTAGTGTTAGTTTTAGTTTTAGTTCAATAAAAATGTATCAATTTTCTTGAATCCTTATATTTTTTTACTAAACTAAAGGTAAATTTCATTTCGAACTTGTTTTTGAAAAAGTTTGCTACATGGCATCCAAAACATCAAACAGTTTTTCAAAAAACGCTCGTTTTAACCCGAAAATTTCTAGTTCTACATCAAGTGTTAATTCAAGTGATGGTGCTAGTGTTAGTTTCGGTTTTAATTTAATTTGTAATTCTCTTCGCCATCATCATCGGTTTATGATGTGCCATTTATTTGTATCAAGACAAATTTTTTTCTTCGGTTCAACGTTTTAATTTATCGATGTGATAAAGTGGAATTAAAAATTGAGTTACTCCCCCTCAACAAAAAAAAATGTATCTAAATATCTCCAAAATTAAATAAATTAAACTCGATATATTTTTTTAATAATTATTAACTTTTCTTCCACTTAAGAATCTTAAATAATAACCGAAAATATAAACCCCAGAAAAAAATTTATGTAGCCTTATCCTAATTATTATTTCATATCAAGAAACTGCCTTGAAAGGAAACAGATGGACTGAAAGATAGTTACCTGAAAAAAAAAATTTGAAATTATGGATTGGAGGTTTGCACATTTTTTTGTTAAATATGTATTAAAAATTTAAAACGAGTTTCACCGTCCGCTTAAAAAATACACACAATGTCAGAATGAAACACATCACGTCACACGATACACGCATAAAAATACGCAAGAAATATAGTTGTTTAAGAGAAGGCAGAAATTAAATAAGTTGGACAATAAAAAAAATAATCAATTCAAACTTTAATCATTAAAAAAAAAAATTTAATGGTTAAATGATTTGATATTGTGTAAGAAATGTAACTGGATCGATCAAAAATAAAAAAGAACCACCCCATCAAAAACAATAAAAATAAAATTAAATGTAAGCAGATTGAGAGTCAGAGTTTGTTACATCTCGTAACAATTTGTTCGGGCATACGGGAGCTATGCAATATTAATGAGTAAATGTCTTGTAGAAATGAAGAAAAAAAGAGAAATGGAAATATAATAGATATTTGTACCTGCTTTTCTATTTTTAACATTTTTAACCTAACTGCTGTAACTTAAATAAGGTTTGGTATATTTTGATTAAAAAAAGAAAACACGTGGATTATTAAGATATAAAAAGAATAAGATAAAAATTAAAAAATGAAAAACAATTTTTTATTAAAACGTTTCCATTTTCTTTTTTTTTAATTAAGTTCTCGCGGCAATATGTACTTAAAATAAAATTGGTTTAGAATCTCTTTTTTTTGTTAACTATATGTTTAATTTTTACCGTACCGTACTTGCCATTACTTGTAATGCCAGTTTGTATACTGCTGTATTTACATAATTTTTACATTATTCATAACGTTAAGTTTTAAATTATAATAGTTTATAGTTACCCAACAAATTAATGAGAAAACCAGTGTAACTTGTGTTAAAGCTATAAAATCCCTCGTAAATAATGTAACCAACTATATTTCCAGTTGTTAGAATTGTAGCGTTAATAATGACGGTCATGATTAAAAATTCATTTTCTACGTGACCTTAGTTTTATATTATACATACGTATTTTTTTTTCGTTCCCTTTTCAATGTAAGGCGGTAAGATTTTTAGATACTATGTGCTTTATTATTTCCCTTTGATGATGATTCGCCCGTCTTCTTTTTTTTTTTTTTTGATAAAGTGTGTAAAATTTATTGTAACTCTATCATTTGATTAAATAAAATGTTTAAGATGTATATTGATTTTGATAATCCACTCCTTTAAAATGAAAGTAATGAGTATTCAATACTAAAAGATAACTTGAGCTATCACCACAATTACAAATATTTCTGCCATGGCATTTTTCATGGACCAGTTAAGTCTCTTGGAAATGTATGTATGTAGTTTCATGTGGGGGTGAATGCTTTTTGTGGTAGATCACAGTACTGCTAGTACTGTTGATAGCAACAGTTTAGACATTTCAGAATATCCAAATCCAAATATACATCTTGGCATGTCCTATATGAACAGCAATTCTATCCATACCATTTGTCGAGTAACCCAGTCCTTTGTCAAAAATAACAGAAAGAATCTTTTGGGAATATGCTTTGCTTTACATTGCGGTTTCAGAAAGTCACCTAACCAACATTTAGAGTATGTGCATCATTAAAATTAATAGATTGTGTACCCCACAGTACTTTATGATGAAGTAACGCGTCCTCATAACAGTCCATTATGGAGTTGGTTTCGCATGGAACGCATGTTTTTAATTAGAATCTGCAGTTAAGAGTCTTCCTTATAAACTTTGCAGCTTTGATTGATGAATGGCTTGCTTTTCAAGAGATGGCAGTAAATAAGTTTTCTTTTGAAGCTTTGTATCTTTCGGTGATTTAATTGGGTTGCCTAAGATTTCATGATAAACTAAAATTAACATTTTTAATATTTTTAAAAATAAAATGCTTTTTTAAATAAATTTTTCCAACATAAAATCGTTAATTTCCAATAATATTTGAAAATTATTTTAATAAAATTAATTTAAACTCAGAATCCAAATAATTTTTATTCCCCTAAAACCAGTTTTGCTGCATTTAACCTTGTTATAGGTTGAATTTAACATTGTTCTGACCTTAGTTCGTGTCGAACCATCCTCGATAATGAGTTCCGAAACATCTTGTTCATCAATTTCCGCCACACAAGAACTTCCAACGTCTTCCAGCGACAAATTTAAAGCCAAGGAGGTTCATAAGGTAAAATGGTGACTAAAAAATTTCTTATAAGTAATTGTAATTTTTTGAAGTCATTTGATGCGGCGGATTTAGCACGTTTATTACTATGTATTGGATTTAATTTAGTCGACACGGCAAAACTTGATAATCTCGAAGAACTCCACAAATTACTAAAAAATAAAGAAGAAAATTTGGTCAAAGTTGAGATAACCTGCATTAAATCTGGTACAAAAATATGGTTGTCTAAAGATGATTGTTGCTGTAGATGTCCTCCCGAACAAAGTGATGATGGTTTAATGTGGAATGTTAGCGGTGTTAGTGCACAGGTAAAAAGAATTTAATTCAAATCAAATTATTAAATTAAATTAACAAATTATCTTAAAGGGAAATATCTCCATAACTAAATCGAACATCATCCCAACAGTTGCCCCAACAAAAGCAAATATGATCAACACACTCCTTTTAAAATGTATCGAATATATAGTTTTTTCAAACACCAATGATCGTAACATAGATCTTATCCAAGAAATGAAGGCGATGTTTGGACTACGTAAAACTAAATCCACCGATAATATAAGAATCGATCATAATTTATCAAGAATTACGATCGGTTCCACTCCTCCTCGACACAGTTCAAGCCCAATCTGCTTGAGTTTAAATCACCCGAGGACTTCTTTAGGAGGAAGCGACTCCTTAGTGGATGTTTTAAAAGAAATCGAAGGAAAACTAAAATTTGCTATTGATGTGGCGTCCAAAAAGAACATCACCTTTACGAAAACTTCCGATAGTATGAAGATTAGTCCTTTGGCCTCTTTACCAAGTACTTCAAGTGCATTTGAACCAACTGGAAACCAGGCAATGGTGCAATGTGTTGAAATTAAATCAACCCCAATAAGTAAAACGCCTAAGAAACAAGCTGCGTCAACTGGTGCGAAGAAAAAAGGACTCATTCCCCCATCGAGGTTAAATTTATTGAAATATAAGAAAGATATAGCGACTTCTTCGTTGGGAAGAACACCTGCATCGTCTATGGTGAAAGATCGCACCGGAAAATCATATAATTTATCTGTTGCTAAGGTCAAATCTGCTATTAGTGTTGACGCTAATTTACAATCGAAATTGAAGCCTGGAACCAGCGCTCCAGTTGCTTGTAATTCCAGGATAAAAATGAATTTAAAGAAATAATTATTTATATTTTAGTATGTCTTGTAAATTTGTCACATAATTTTTATATCAGAAATATCATTGTAATTAAATAAGCAAATTAATTTTTATACAACATTAAATGAGTTGAATATAATTTCATCCAAAAATAAAATGAAAAAAATATAGTAAAATAAGAATAAATAATATAATATCGATTTCAGCGCCCTCTAATAGAGAATAGCTAAATTAAGTATCATAACCTGTACGTTTAATATTTTTCTAAAATTAATATCCAATATTTAACCAACTTTTAAATTATAACCCATCCCATAAATAATGAATATATTAATGTAAATTATTATTATTAAAATGTAATTTTTAAATATCCCGCCATACTTTAGGGACATGCCCAAAAGCTTGTTGGTAAACTATTGGTCGATTAGGAAAAATGTTGGTTGTCATTTCGAACGAAATAATTAAATATTTAACGGGTATTTACTATTAATAAAAGTGGCCTGCCTCTAGACAATAGCTTAAAATGTTAAAGGATAATATAAACACATTAGCAGAAGATTTAGAAAGACAGGAGCTTGAAGTGAGTCCCGCATTCGGTTTCCAAACTTTTATTTGAGGTTATGACACCTCTAAATATTTTTATTTTAGGCCCCAAACGGCACCGCTACGTACGAAGTTTACGAACAATTGTTAGCTATTTATTTATGCCAGAACGATTTGTAAGTTATTCCGTTATTCGTCGCAAAATCATTATATTTTAAACCTAACCTAACTTTTCTGTCATTTTTCTCTTTTTAGATGTAATGCTAAGTATTTATGGAAACGAATACCCGATGTGGTAAAATTATGCAAGCCTGAATTAGGACAAATATGGACTGTTGCTCAACATATGTGGCAAAGGGACTTTCCTGCCGTTTATAGAGCATTAACAAGTGTTAAATGGTCGGATACAGTTGCAGAACTTATGAATCTTGTTCAAGGTTTCATATTTATATAAAGATTTCATAAACTTTTTTTATTTAATCATTATTTTTAGAAAATGTAAGAAGTAGAGCTGTGGATTTGATAGCACAATCTTTCTCATCAATAGCCCTTGAAACTGTGGCATCCATGACAGATCTTAATGTTGAAGTTGCCGGGGCAGCTTGTATTGAAAAAGGGTGGTTAGTCGAAGCTGACACTCAAATGGTACATCCAGTTAGACCTAAATTAGAACCTAGCGGACACATCTCGAGTGAGGATCAACTTTACAAGCTCACCGATTTTGTGTCCTTTCTTGAAAATTGAGTTTAAAGTTATAATAAAGTTATAATCAAGTATTTGATATTAAATTAAAAAATAAACACGCATTGTACATAAAGAAAACAAGAAAGAAATCCTTTTCATGTATTTTAAGTCTTATTGTCCATGTAACTTAAAAAATTACTACTTGTAACTATTTGCACGGTTTAAAATTTTTTGAAATAAAAACGTTTTCTCAAATATAATTTTAAAATCCTCATTAAAGAAAATTATTCCTTTTGGCTAAAAGAATTGACACATAAAAGTGAGGTTATTTAAATTAAATTATTTTTACTCTAAATCAAAAAAACATTTCTGTATTCTTTATTATGTTTATTTAAATTAAAAAGAAACTGTAATATCTCAATAAATAAATTGATAATTAAATAAATTCTATAATTTAAGGATAAAATATTTTTTGACAGATAAAAGTGAGGTTATGTTACGTTATCAATACAATTTAATATCTTTATAAAATGGTTTGTATACGTTTTATATTGATTAAACTAAGGGAAATAATTAAATTAAACTTTTTTTAGCACGGGAGATTAAAAGTTCGTACTACAGAACAACAAAAACTCCTCAAACAAAAAGAACAGCAAAAGAAATTGGCTGCTTATAAACATGTAATGAATCAAGTGTCTTTAAATAGAAAATCTGTACCGTATCACGTTGAAACGTATTCACTTTGTGCCCAAATCTTGCAATCCAATCCAGATGTGTATACTTTATGGAATTATAGAAAAGAAGTTGTGCTTCAACAACTACAAGAGAGGTTATTTGTATGAATAATTGATTCTTTTGTAACTAATTATATTTAATTCTTAGTCAAAAGACAGGTGAAGAAGGGGAAAATACAGAAGATTTGATAAAGTTTCTAGAAAATGAAATAAAATTAACTGAATCATGTCTTCTAAATAATCCAAAATCTTATGGTTCTTGGCACCATCGTTATTGGATATTAGATCATCATCCAAAACCGAATTGGAATCAAGAGTTTAATTTGTGCACTAAGTATTTGTCTTTGGATGATAGAAACTGTAATTAATCTAATTCCAATAAGTTATAAAGTTTGTAAAACATTTTTTATTTTATAGTTCATTGTTGGGATTATCGAAGGTTAATGCTTAACAAAATAGGCATAACCCTATTAGAAGAAATTAAATTTTCCACAGAAAGATTAAATGTAAACTTTTCAAACTATTCCTCATGGCATTATAGGAGTACTTTAAGAAAATTAGATGATGAAAGCATTCAGGGTGAATTGGATTTGGTTAAAAGTGCTGTTTTTACTGATCCTGCTGATAGCAGTGCTTGGTTTTATCTTCGATGGGTTTTAAGTCATCGTAATGTTGATCATGAGCAAAGAAAAGAGTTGTTGGGGAATTTAGAAGAATTATTAGAATTAGATCCTGATTGTAAATGTAGGTTTTAATGAGACCTTTCCACTTTTATTGAATTATCTTTAGAAATGAAATGATATATTATTAAAACCAAATCTAACACATTTTAACTGTTAAAGCATTTGTACTTATAAAATGATACTATTTTTTTTGTAGGGATTATTATGGGTAAAGTATGGTTAACAGGAAGTTTAAGGATGACAGATGAAAAGTTTTTAGATAAAAGAGTTGAATATTATCAAGATTTGAAAAAAATGGATTCATTGAGAGCTGGGCAATATGATGATTATTTGAAAATATCCATAAAGTAGATGATAAATAACTTTTTAAACACAATTTCATAATTAATGCATTTAATATATCGCTGAAAAAAAAGCAAAAGTAATTTTTAGTTCTTAAAATTATTATTTTCTTGTTCCATTTTCAACTTAATCTTTTCTTCATCAATATTTACCTAAAACATCAATATTATAATCAACCTAAACTTTATTATTAACATTACCGAATTCCTCAATTTCACAAACTTCTCATTTACTTCTTGTTTTTGAATTTTATCCAAATATCTTTGTCTCACATACAACACAGTATCAATATGACTTTTATGTTTTGTCGCTAAATCTAAAGCACTACAAAAAATATTTAATTCCAAAAAGATTAAATTAATTAAAATAAAATTTACCGATCCCAATTAAATAATTGCAAATTTATTAATATAGCTTGATAAACCATTCCGTTATGTATCAATATAGACTCAGCAGTTTGCAAAGAACCCCCCAATAAAGCCGCACCAGCTAATTGTTGAGCTTTTGTAGGCATTTCCTTAAAATAAAAATGCTTCAAATTTAATTTAACCTAAAAAAAAACTCAAATACTTTTAAATGTTGGATATAAAAAACTTTATCGAATTGATTAATAGCCGCATAAGCTTCTTCAGCAACATCTAACGTATCCGCGCTTTGAGATTGAGTTGCCAAAACGGCTAAACAAGTCCATAAAGCTACATCTTCCGTAGTTCTACATATATTTAAAGCATCCGTCCATTTTCCATCTTGAATATATCTACAACAAAAATCTATTTATCTATATAAATAAATACTAAGTTTAATACCTGTGTAATAACGCCGGAAAAGGTGAAATAGGAACGTTTAATAAAGAACCGTCTGAACGCCGAATCGAAACTGAATTCCCAACGAAATCATTGATTTTCGGACTACGACTAAGTTCTAATGAATCGTAAACGAAAGAGCACATTCTTAATAACGTCGCTTCAAAACAAGCCGACGGGCAATACCAAACCACTAAATGTGTGTCTTGTATAGCTGCTAACATATTTTCATCCGAATTCCATTGGAAACCTTGAATTTGACCACCTAAAATAAATAATTACGAATGAAAATATTGTATATGTTCAGCAATACATATTGCAGTGCTTTTATTGTAGAATCTCAGCTTGCTTCCTTGATTTCAGTGTATCTTCTGATTAAGCTGAGGCTGCTTGCGACTCTAGCATCATAATACAAGTTAAGCTACACATATTGCAGTGCCTTGGCTGCAAGTGACCTCGACTTGGTTACTACTCTACAACACAATGTATACTCTATTTTTTTAATTCAGAAGAGTGTTTTCAAATTGAAGCGCCAAAAACAAGGGTTGCTATTAGTTAGTCTTAAGCAAAAATTACACTAGGAAAATTCGAGATGTTGCCTAGCTGCCTAGAAATATTCGGGTTTAACCGCACGTTTCTTAGTATGGCTAAACTCGAATCATTCTAGTGGTAGGTCTTGTGTTGCAATACTAGAACTAACACTAGACCGAGAACTAGAAATATACCGGTTTAGCCGTGCGTCTTCAGCGATACTTTCTAGTTCTAGTGTTAGTTCTAGTTGTAGTTCAATAAAAATATACAACATAGTAATCTTATGCAACCTAGCGCTACCTACCACTGCCACTAGAACTAACACAAGACCTAGAACTAGAATCAGTCAGGTTTAGCCGCACGTCTCTCAAGACGACTGTGTTAGTTTAGTCGTCTTGAGAGACGTGCGGCTAAACCTGAATGATTCTAGTTCTAGGTCTTGTGTTAGTTCTAGTTATGGTGCTAATGTAAAACTAGAACCAACACTAGACCGAGAACTAGAAACATTCGGGTTTAGCCGCACGTCTCTCAGGACGGCTAAACCTGAATGATTCTAGCTCTAGGTCTTGTGTTAGTTCAATTAAAATATGCAACAGTGATATTTTATGCTAACTAGCGCTACCTACCACCTATCAGCTGTCTTAACAGAGGTACAGCTAAACGGAATGTTTCTTGTTCTTGGTCTAGTGTTAGTTCTAGTGCTAGTATTGTCTAGTTTTATTTGTTATTCAACGCTAGATGAATGGTTTTTATTATGTTTAAACAAACAAGTAATTAAATTCGTAACTACAGTTTACTTAAAATCCTCTCGGGTTTTAAAACTCCCGCCAAAAAATAGCTTTGAAAAATTACACTGTGTAAACGTGACTTTTCATTTTCTCTTCCGCATTAAAAAATAGAGTATAGTAATCTATCGCCAGATTTAGTGCAGTTCCTCACCTAATTTAGAAAATGTTTTATGTTGTGATTTGATCGATATAACATAAACATCTTTATTTTTATCTAAAACGGCCATAATTCTATTTCCGGCACCTCCTGATTGATTTAATGATATTTGTAGTACTTGATTTGAATGTTGGATAGTAGACGACTGTTCCATCATACTTCTATTTGATGTTATATCCACGATGTGAATCAATTTAGTGTCGGAAGCATCCCTAATCACCAATACATCCGGCGATAAAGATATTTGCCAATTTCGAATGTTATCCAAACGCATATTTGGCCATCTTGGCGATGCTATTAATCTACCTTGATAATTATAAAGACCCACGGTGGTTTTTTCAACCAATAAAAAATGCCTATTATATTAAAATTCTTCAATAAGATATACAGTGTGTTAATTAATTATCGTACCCAACGTCATCATTGCAAGTATGCAACTAATATCACAATATTGGTATTGCAATACACAAATCGCGTAATGTAATAAAAATACTGTGATATTGGTTGCATACTTGCAATGATGACGTCGGCTACGATAATTAAGTAAGTGTACTTAATTTAAAAAAAAATTAACTTACTTTTCAGTTAATAGCAATAAAATAACACACCCATCTTTTAAATCAAAAATAGTTGGGGTATTCCAATTTACAGTGGCATAAATATAACATTGTATGGGTGTTGTTAAAACTAAGTGATTATATCTAAGTGACATTTGAATAACTCTTTCGGGAAGATCTAAAACTTCTGTTGCATCATTTAAAACGTCTTTAACCACCACAACTTTTCGTTCAGTTACGGTTGCTACATAATTTAAGTAAGAAACTTGTCGCTCTACGATGTGTGCAAATAAAACGTGGCCGTTAGCGCAAGCCCCAGCAAGTTGAGTTCCATCACTAGACCACGATATTTTATAAATACAACCCGTTGATGGTTTTTCAAGCGATTGAGACCACTAAAATTTTTTTATTATTTTGTGATTACTTTTTCTTTTAATTTATACCCCTGAGCGATCGCAAAGACGTAAAGTATTATAAGAACCAACCGCGAAAAGATCCCCATTTGGGGACCAAGCCATAGAGGTTATAGGATGATCATGTAAGTTACTTGAAAATAATTGTCTCCCTTGGTTGTCCCATACTCTGTATCTGCAATCTTCTCCTCCTGATATAATTAACTCGGATGAGGAACTCCATGATAGGCATAATGTAATACCTTCATGAGCTTTCCACTAGAAATAAATTAATAATTAGAAACAATTATTTTGGTTCAAATAATAATTACTTTATGAGGTTTTGTATTCGGTGCTAAATTTTTAATCACAATGAATTTACCGCTTGTATAAACTATTGATTGATTATCCGGTGACCAACTAACCCCGTAAACTGAGAAATCACTTGAAACTATTGTAGACCTCAACATACCAGAACGAGACCATATTTTTATAAATCCATCTTCTCCAGCTTAAAAAAGAGAACAACAATGCATTTAATGTGATAGTTCAATTTGAAATTACATTAAACTTTACCTGTTAACAAACTTGATCCATCATTACTCCATTGTCCAGATAAAATAGCTCCTTTATGAGCCTCAACAGATCGTTCAATTCTTCCAGATTTATTAACTATATGAAATTTGCCATCTGTTGAAGTGATTAATATCAGATCTCCGTGTTTTCCTAAAGCTCCCCCAATTCGAGGCAAAAAATGTAAATCGGTTGGAAGCAGCTCTGCTTTGAAATCGGTGACCTTAATTGCTTCGTTATTTGAAACGTTCCAACATAACAATTGGTTATCATCACTATAAATGTTTTTTAAAGTAATTAGATTATTTAGGCCCACTTTTACCACCTCTTGATAAATTTATCCGATAGATAATTACCATGGTTACAGCGGTTTTAAGCGCTCTCATTGGTTAAGAGCTCCAATTTATCTATCGGTTAAATTTATCAAGAGATGGTAAAAGTGGGCCTTAACTTATTAAAACTTACCCTGCCGAATAAACTTCTTCAGTTGTACTCCAACTTAAACACGTTACAGCAGCTTTATGATAATTATTTTTAGCAACAGTTACTTTTAGCTTCATTTTTCTTTTCTGACGTTTATTTGTATATGAAGTGGTTGCTATGGTAATAGAGAACTTTATTGGTTGTGGATATGCAACCCAATATACTAAAAAGTTGTAATTTAATTTATTTAATAAAATGCAATAAATCAATTCGATTCGAAATTAGACTGTTATGTAACAAATTGTATTTTAATTTTTTAATTCGGTTCATCATCCAAATGTAGAGTAAATGTAGGTTTTCGAGGGTAAATCATTTTCACCTCATTTATTGATTTGATTATTTTACGCGAAATGTGTAATTCGTTTGAATATCGTGTATTTTACTATTTGAATTTGATTTTAAAGTAGTAATTAAATTTTACTAATTAGTAGCGGTTTTCAAATTAATTTAATGCTTAATTTTAATTGGACCGCGTTACGCATCACTTGACTAAACGACAAATGAATAGTGTTGAGAAAAACGGGATTTTCATTTTCATCATTATTTTATGAAGATTACGAATATAATAATAAAATTAAACTTGACATTGACAACTGAAAGTTTTTGTTACGACTAAACGATTGTAAGATTTGTGCTAAAGATTTGTAACGATTTAGATGTAGTAATTGTATGATTTTTAAATGAACTTCTAATGCGATCTAAGATGCAGGGATTTGTACTTAACTTTTAATGTAACTATTTGGACACGTCATCATATTGTAACTGCCTCGACTTCATTAGGTGAAATTGTAGATCTTTTGACTAATTAAGCCGAGGTCACCTGTGGTCGAATCTCAATGGTTAATATTATATTAATCAGAAAGTAGCCATCACATTTTTGCAAGCGTCCTCGTCTATACCAGATGAGTTGTAAACCTTGTGCTAATGATTTTGATTATTTAATTTGCTTATTTTATTTCATTTATTATAATTTATGTGCTTAATTGTTTAATAAAATAAATAGTAATTTAAATTCAATATTAGATTTTGAACGCTAACTCAATATATCTCCAAGTGATGGATTCGTTTATCCTCCCTTTACGTAGACTTAATAGAATGGCTTACATTTAATACAACTTCCTGCGTCGCAGAGTATACGTGACAAGTGATATTCAATAGGATTCGGTAATATCTCAATATTGCTCGATATAGGAGTCTTTGCTTACGAACTCCCCGTCCGGGAAGTATTAGCATAATATTTTCGGGTGCGTCAATAACGGCGTGTCGCGATGGAGATGGTGAATGGGCAAGAGATTGACGGGCGCACTTCGCCCCAACTTAATCCTGATAGACGGGGGCTTAACAAGGGGGCCCCGGGCTGTATTACACACTGCCGGCAAATAGAAACTCAAGTGTGTAAAGGCGTGTGTGTGTGTTGATGTACGAGTAGGATATTGGATTTTATCCGTTGGACGAGGTCTCGCTCGGCGGGATGCCCCCAGCTTCCGAATCTAGTTAGCGGTCGTATGCCGATCACGATTTTCGGACAGCACGTACAATAATACCGGTGTTTTGAGTACGGATGGTTCGCTGTCCTTCGCAAATAGTACGGATATTACATCGGTGTTTTGGGGAAGGGAATACCAAACCATCTAGTATTACTAATATGATTGCATTTTTATGAAACAATTTTTTTAGAACGCCAAAATTCCATTCGTTGTTTAATATAAACACAAAAAGTTTTGTATTGGAACCATTTCTAATCATAACTTTAGTAATCGGTAACAATAAACCAGCTGCTACCGAATTTTGAATTTCGCTACCCTTTTAGACTTTGTTTAAATGGAAAGTTATTAATTAAAACCACTTTAAAATGTCGATAAATCGAGGAATGATTTCTCGTTTCGGCTTTTCTAATTTCGTTTAATGACTTTCTCGGGGTGTTTAAAACGGTTCTTCCAGGTGGTTTGTCTTCTATACACCCTTAAAATTTTATCGAATCTCTTCATTTACGTCTCTATTGTGTCGACGCTGAATAACCTTCGGCTTCGTTTAAGAATTTTAACGACGGTCACTTTTTGTGCCAAAGTGGAAAAATTAAGTTGTTAATAATTCATCTCCCGAAAAGATGAACGTTCCTCTTGAAAATGATCGAAGTTTTTTTTTTCAGACTCTTCAATTAATTCGAACCGAGTCGACTTTATTGAGGAATTAAAAATACAATTTTGGCCCGCGCAAAAATGGGGGGAACTTTTTTTTGCTTAGGCAGGTTATTACGAACATCCACGTTTTATTTTGAAGAAGGGAAATTTTTAGTACATTTTTATTTCATTGGACATCAGCACGTACTGTAGTTATCCTTTTTTTGAGATGTATTTTAGGTGGTATAAAGAAGAGTTATCTACGTCAAACGGTCCCTCCTAAATAAAGAAAAGCTTCGCCACTCGTCGTAAAAGCTGCAACAACAATTTTCGAAAGTAAATGGTTCGGCAGAACCAATTATATAAATTTATGCCCCCTCTTACCGTTTTCCACAACTTGCACACATCTGCTTTAAATATCTTTTGCGGAACGCAGTGGAAAATTGCATTCTGTTGCATAATCCGTGTTAGATACGGCTCCCATTCTTTTATAGCTCCCCTTATTCTACTTTGTCACTGTTTTTGGGATGTGACAAACGATATATTGGAATTTAGAAGTTTTTTATTTGGATGGTGAATAAGATTTATTATTTAATTTTGATGGTGGTTAATTTTTAATTTATTATTAAAATAATAAATAATCAAAGTGGAGGGTTTAATATAGAATTATTTGCGTGCTTGTGGGTTGCTCATTAATAGCATTCGCAGCGAGAGCGAATATAATACATTCAATTATGATACGATAATTAATATAAAATCCCATCATTAAATATGCCCTGTACGTTACTAAAATATATAAAAGGGTTTAATGAACTATTTAGAAAACTCGTTTAAATTCAGCGCCAACATATCGGTTAATTTAATTAATCTATAGGAAATTGCATGCTCCCGCTACTCTAGTTGTAGGTCAATTTATTTATAATTGAAAAATAATTGTCAATTATCTCGAAACAGCTTCGCATTTACGTAATTTACATTTAATTTACGTCCGGCTTCAGTTTAGATTTGGATCGTTTCCCCAGAAACTCCCAAGTCATACCGTAAACTGGCGCCGACCGGGTTTAGAATTGAATTTGAACATGTCAATTTGGGAGGAAACAGGCTCGGTAAGCTTTATATTCTAATAAATTGATACATGACCCGTGTCCAATTTGCATAAACGCGGATTCGGCCGATCCTAATACAAACGGCAAACGGCATCCTAAGTAATCGAAAGGGGCGGCTGCGGCCGAATAAATGAGATACAGATGCCGCACCCGTTCAGTTTCGGCGGTTTCCTTCTTCCCCTCCAACATTCTCTCTTAGTCGCACACAGAAAGTGTTAAACAGGATTACAGGTCACACTCCTTCTCAAAACCCTCCTCAGGACTTTGTTTGGCCTTTAATTTTCTTCCGTAATCCCTTCCCAAGCCACCCGGATACAATTTTCAAATGAGGAACTCACGTGGGATAACGTTTAAAATCTTTTGACTTTATTGATTCATTTTAATCTAATAATTTTTTTATTTTGTAAGTGTACTCATCGTCTTCTTTGAGTTTCCTGTAACCCCATTCTTTTAGAACCGAATAAGGAGGCTGAGTCACAGGAATGCTTTTACTGGCCAAAAACTCGTTTATTGAAATTGCTATGTGACAAGGCGCATCGTGATGCAACACCCAGTTTTTTTTCGAAGTTTTTCAAGAACCTCTCGGTAAAAGTATTGATTGACTGTTTGGCCTTGAGGCACAAACTGTTTGTGGACGATTCCCAGGATATCGAAAAAACAAATCAGCATGCATTTGATCTTCGACTTGCTAATTCTTGCTTTTTTGAGCCTTGGAGAGGTTGAAGTGTGCCACTCCATGCTCTGGCGCTTGGTTTCCGGATTGTACTCAATCACCCAAGGCTCGTCTCCAATAATAACATGTTCCAGAAAATGGGGATCATTTTCAATCGATTCCAAAAAATCAAGCCACCTTGCCTTCCTGATGTCTTTTTGGTTTTGCGAAAGGTTTTTTGGAAATGCGTAGATTTTTCTCATCCCCAATTGATTGGTCAAAATCTGATGAACGGTGGTGTGAGTCATTTCAACTCTTTCCCAATCATTCGGACTGTCATTGAGTCTGCACGCACAAGATCCCGGATTCTGTCGACGTTTTCATCGATTCTTGAAGATGAAGACCTTCCGCTTCGTGGTTAATTTCATACAGATTAAAAAGGATTACAGGTCACACGCCGCACATACATAGATTTTACAGATTTAAGCGGCCAAAAGTCAATTTTTAAAAAACAGTATATCATTAAATTAACAATTACTTGAGTTAGTACACACTTCTAGGAATAATATGACACCCCTCCCACCCCTCATCGATGCGCGATAGTTAATTGTCAGGTAGTCGGAATTCGATAGTTACTTAACGTGTACTTATCTGTTCTCGGCGTTTGCAAACTTGCAACTTTTCTAAAGTGCATCATTATTTTCATTCAGATTGTTTTTAAGTGACAATGATGGATTGCGATAATTCAGGTAAGGAACAATATTTTTCGATACTTATGTATTTACGTAATTTTAATATTCCTTTATAAATTTTTTAACTGTCAAAAATGACACTGTTAAATATTATTTTTTTGTATTAATTAATTTTCAAAAGGTCTTTTAAAGTACTTCAGTGTTCGTCCTTGTACTAATTTATTTCGTACTCCACATTTAACATATTAAGCTATATATTGACAAAAAATTTAGCCGCGGAAAGCCGCGTTTTTTCAATTTAAGAGCAGTTTAAACTATTGAGTCGAAAGAAAGCAAAATGTCATATTTGTGCTTTTTGATATTAAATCAACTTTATTTTTGTATTAGGTCAGTTTAGTGCCTCGGGTACTAAAATGGTGACTCGAAAATATTTGTTTGATCAAATACAAGCGCAAAATTTACCAACTTTAAGTGAAAAACTCGATTTTTATGAAAATCATCTTATACTT